ATGCAAATACAGTAGCCCTTCAATTAGTGATTTTAGATATTAGATCCATTTTATTTTCAACTCATCCCATGTTTACAGTTTTTCATTGCTGAAGACTTGTATGACAACACATATATGGTAGTTGTCAGAGAAAAGATGGGAGGGGTTTGATAGGTGGGTCTTTTGCATTTGGGGAAGCATGGGAGATAATTGGGGATTACAGGATAAACACAAACATCCAGCTGTGTTAAAATGATCGGAATTAAATAACCCATTGAATGGAAACAGATCACACACCTTGCAGAGATTTTTTTTCAGGCTGCCTATGGAAATAACATGGCACAAGTTTACATTCAGTTTACATTTTTAAGGTTTATTTACAATTATATGGATTTGAGGTTTTTAAATGAAAGCCTATAACAAATGAAAGGTATTAGCAAGTGGTGGATTCTGTGGCCATGGAACACAGGGGCCCTGGTTATAAAACATGCAAACCCAATAAATAAGAGAAAGTTATACCTTACTTCATCAAACAGGCTATTCATCTCACCAACAAGTCGCTGGTTTTCCTGTTCAAACTAAAGAAGGAAAACAACAGCAAAAACACTGCATGAAGTCACAGATCAGAATGCTGTCAAAGACATTCTAAAGAAGAAAGTAAAATCTAAATTATAATTAATTCTGAAGCAGTCAATGTTTAAGAGCTAAATGAGGTTTTTCAGCATCTTCACTGTAGTAGGAAGTAAAAAAGCATCATGAACATGTTTGCTTATATTTAAACAGCAACCTCAAAATCCACTATTTTCACCCAATGATGAGAGAAAATTATTCTACAGATTTGCTCAATATACAAGTACACAAAAAACACAGTAAATGCAACATTCCCGCAATTTTATATATGTTTTGACTTGAGAAGAAGCCAAAGTAGGTGATATTATTGTAACAGTATAATATGAAATTAAGAGAAGATGGTTACTTACCATTGTAACTCTTACTCTTCGAGATGTGTTGCTCATGTCCATTCCATGTCAGTGTGTGCCCGCTGCATGCACGTCATCGGAAGTATCCATTGGGCCAACAGGTGAGCCTCCTGCAGTGTTGCCGCTACATTGGCCAATATATACTTCTGCTGGCCCTCCACGCTCTTGTTTCCTTTTTACCGGACTACTCCGAAAAAGGGGAGGCAGACGGGCTTTGGAATGGACATGAGCAACACATCTCAAAGAACAAGTTACAACGGTAAGTAATTCTAGCTTTCCACTGACCTAAGTACAACCCTACCCAGGGCTGTGTCCTTCCCAGCCTAATTAGCCAGCACATAGTGATTGGCGAAAGTGTGGACAGAAGACCATGTGACGGCCCTACAGACGTCCAAGATAGGGACCTGAACTACAAACGCCATAGAGGAGGCCTGCACCCTAGTAGAGTGGACTGTGAGGGAAGGGGCCAGTATCACAGCAAACCCACAGCACTCCCTAATACAGGTCGTGATCCAGGATGAGATTCTTTGTGCAAATACTGGTGGCCCCTTCAGCCATTCTGCAATTGCTACAAAGAGCTGCAGGAGCTACCAAAGGGCTTTGTTCTTTCTACATAAAAAGCAGGCATTCTTCTAACATCAAAGGTGTGTAACACCTGTTTCTTACTCGATGCATGGGGCTTGGGGTAAAAGACAGGGAGGTAAATGTCCTGAGACATATAGAAGCTAGAAACCACCCTAGGAAGGAAGGCAAGGTTGGGGCGTAACCTGAGCTTGTCTTTAAAGAAAACTGTATATGGGGGGTCCAAAGTGAGGGCTCTTAGTTCGGACACACTCCTGGCCAATGTGATAGCCACCAAAAAGAATACTTTCCAAAAAAGGTGCATCAGTGAGCACGTTGCCAGGGGTTCAAAGAGAGGTCCCATGAGCTTAGCAGAACTAGACAGGTCCCACTGAGGGATGGGCTGACAGACATGCTGGTAGGCCTTTCAAAAATCCGTTCACCATCGGGTCCTCAAAGTGGGCCTTACCTCTGGAGCCCAGGTGAGAGGCGGAAATAGCCTAATGGAAGAGGATGATAACCCCAATAGCCTGAGATCTAGAAGGTAGTCCAGGACCCATGGGACCTGGGCATCTATGGGTGATACCCCCTCTTGGGTAGTCCAAGTGGAGAAGCCAGGTAAGTAGCCCTAGTGGAAGGTTTACTTCTACCCAGCAGCACCCCCTGCACATGCTCCAAGCACTGCAGCTCTGCCACTATCAGCCATGGAACTTCCAGCCAGGGATCACAGGTTTAGGTGGCAAAGCCTTCCGAAGTCCTGTGTTATAAGGGCCAGTTCCAATAGGAGAGTGATCTGCCTCTTGTAGGACAGGAATGTGAAACAGTGCTGCCTTGGCCAGTGCTGGCAGCAGTACACCCAGAAGAGAGGGGCCAGTGGCTGCAGGACTCAGTGCTGCTGTCGGTATTGCCCAAAGATCCTGTACCAATGCCGGGCAGGTCTGGTGCTCGGACAGGAGTGGAGGCTGCAGCTGGTGCCAAGGATTAGGGCAGTGCCATGCCCAGCATGGGGGTTGAAGCTGCAGGCGCTGGGGCAGAGTAGTGATGTCCCCTTGCTTTGGCCACCCTTAGGGTCAGGAGCTGATGATCTCCTCCTGAAGGAGATGCAAGGTTCCGGGGCCAATGGCCGGTGCCATCTTGGCTCGTGCGCCTTTGCTGAATCCTGTGCCAAGGTCGTGGAGAAGGACAGCTCAATCGAGTCTCTTACTTTTAAGGTCTCTGGAGTGGAAGGCTCTGGGAAGTTACCTGCTGGGCTGTAAACTCACTGTGGGCTAGAGCGGTGTCGGCCTGACGGTGATAGTCCAGGTGCAGCACTCGATGGTGCTGCATGCCTCACTTGAGGGTGCATGGAGGGCATGTGCTCTGAAGGGGACCTGCCCCTGCCTGGTCTCCCTTTTCTTCTGGGGCACCGGGGACTGATACCAGTGCCAAGGCGTATGCAGTGTCAGCGAGGCACACGAATGGCTGGGCGCTCCCCGCACTGAGGGCAATGTGCTCTAGATTGCTGGAACTGGGTCAGACACCAGTGCTGGGAGCAAAGCTGCCTCCATAAGTATAATCTTCAAGCGAGATTCTCTTTCCCGCTTGGTGCACGATTTGAAGGCCTTACAGATTTCACAGCCCTCAGACAAATGAGCCTCCCTGAGGCACTTAAGGCAGGCTGAGTGAGGGTCTCCACAGGGCACAGGCTTCTGGCACTTCTTGCAGGGCTTGAAGCAGTGGGGCCTGGGCACGCCCTGCCAAACGGGATGTCGCACTTGATTGTTCAGCCAGAAGTAACACACTTAACTACTTAGGGACAGACAACACAGATGAACTGCAAAAACTGTAACAAAGAACTAAAACACTAGGTAAAACTGCTAAGAAGTGCTTGCAGCGCAAGAGCAAAAGCACATTCCAACAACCCACAGTCAGGAGCGGTAAGAAGGAACTGAGGGGACGGAGGCCAGCAGGGATATATATTAGCCAATATAGTGGTGCCACTCCAGGGGGCTCTCCTTGCTGGCCCAAGAGATACTGTTAAGGGAAACACTTCTGACAACACATGCACACAGAACGTGCACACCTACATGGAATGGACATGAGCAATCACGCGAGGAACAACTCTGAGTTTGCCAAAATATAAAATCTTCTGACATCTAGTACTGATACTTTAGAAAATGAGGCAAAGGCCCATACAGTTGCAGTCCCTAAGCTGTCACTTTTCCATTTTAAATTGGGGTTACTCCGTGAAATAACTTTTAAATTTACTATCATTATATTTTCCAAGCAAATAACTATACACAGATTTCATGAGTGAAATAACCTCTTCTTTCAAAGATGGACTACGTTCATTATCAATTCATTTGGCATTCATAGTACTAGGTTTTTCTATCATGCTCACCCAAAAAGCCTAACAGAAATCTGAAGATGGATTCAGTAAGTTTCACAGCCAAATTGTAACAAATAAATAACAGGCTAACTGCAATCCTCATCTTAA